GTGAATATTATTTTTCGTTTCCGTACGTTATTATTATTTACGAAAATCCAAAAATACGTCAAAGCGTTCAAAGCGTGTTAAACCGAGCAAGAAAAAAATAACAACAGGAAATTGGAATGTCAATCTTTCGGCAATATTATAGTATAAGATGACATTATAATATATCGGGTCGGTCTGACCATAACGTACGTCGAAACACTGAAGCCAGTATACTCCAGAATAGCCAATGAGGGTGCTCATCCCCTTGTATTCTCAGTTATTGAAACTATCATTTTTGGAATTTTTAAAATATATACTCAAAAACCGTATTTTCCAATTTTTGAGATTTTTCGTACTGTACTTAAGGAGTGGCATAATGTAAACATCTATTTTTAAAATGAGAACCTCTTTTTTATACTGTAAATAATTTAGTTTAGGTACCTGTCAACATTTTTTAAAAATATTTTATGTAACCTAACTAATTCAAAATTAGTAAGAGTAGTTTCTTAGTTATTTAAATGTATGAATAATAATCTTTAAAAATGGTTTTAAACAAATTTAAAATTGATGTAATATTATAGATCTTTATTATAACATTTATAATTTTTAAAAATTATTAATGTTGACTAGATCAATATCAACCATACAATTTTTAAATCACCTTAATCCCCCCCCCTAAACCTATCCTTCGATAGTTACATAGAGTTAAATATATAAAAAAAATAACTCGTTCGAATTTTGATTTTGATAATCAACATTTCCAGAAAAATGATCCAATAAATAATTTACAGTAGAAAATGGGTGTTAGATCTTAGAAGTTTTCTTCAACTCTACAGGACAACCGACCTTCTTGAAAAATATGAAGCATTTTAAAATATGGTCTTCTAGAATATTTAAAAAGTCCAAAAATTAGATCTTCAATAACAACTGAATTATTAAATGGAAAAATCGGGGTGGAGCGTGGTTTTTGAATCACTCTGTAGCTATACGCTATAATGATATTTATACATTTTGACTACAAATGAAAGAAAAAACATACTACCAGGTCGTCCAATAAATTGGGAAGGTAAAAAAAAAACATCTAAGTAGGTGTTTTTTCACGTCCCAATTAGGTACTTACCTATATATTATACGAAAGAATCCCGCCGTCGATAAAATGTCACGTTCAGTGCCGAAATAATAAACGTGCTAAACACCGTATCGAACTTAAACACACTGATACATCAGCTATTGTATTATTATTATTATTACCTATTTATTATCATTTTCTTCATTTTGATATCATTGCCGTCCGCGGTTTGAACGGCATCCGCCGAGGGTAATGACGGAAGTCTTCTGTCAAAAACAACAAAAAAAAATCTTAAAAATTCACTCGATTCACATAGCTCTCGACACAAACACTCGAGCACGCAATCGTTTTTGATATTATTGATCACTACAGTTTTTGAAAGATGATTTCGCTGCTGCAGGACATATGTACCGAATTCGGTGGATCGATCTTATATTCTAAAGACTGTTCGACGGTGATTCTCCCTTGGAGAGCTATACCAGGGTGCAGGCCTTTGTCGTTTGAAAAATGTAATATCAAATAATAGTGTAATATAATATATTATACATTTACCAAATCTATATCGTCAATCTGTAAAATGCTCGGTGTGCATACGTTTCCGGCAGACTTATTCGGCACGATTTAATCGTTACCTCGACGTGCTACTGCAGACTATACCTACTACAGACATTGAGCGATCCCCATAAAAGGTTGACATATTATCATGTCAAACTGTAACAATAAAATTTGTAAAGAATATTGTGCAGTGTGTATCATTACGTTTGAAAATTTTGAAAATCTTCGTCACATTCTAAATGCTAGTTAATTTGCTGAGGAAAAATAGTATAAGTCCTGTTGTAGATATAATAGTGTCTGATCGTTTTCCCTACGCTGATATATAGTAATATATTATACATATATAGGTAAATTCAATATTTCATGATTTCGATAGAGCATGAAGACGAATTATAAGTATATGTGTATTATGAGCTGGGTAAGTCGATCCCGAATTCGAAGGTACCCGTTTAAGGCGGTCACCGGACACAAGACGCTAATTAGGACGTAATGGATAATATGAAGCGTGTAATATTAATAATATTAATAAAACTATGTAAGAACATCATTGCGAGTTCAATATTTTTTTTCCCGCGACAAATTTAAATCTATATATATACTCGTATTTTTGCCGGGGCATTAAAAAAAATAATTTGTCATGGTTCGGATGAGATAAGTCGTGGCGGTTACCGAGGTAACCGAAGGGGAAGGGGTATCAGGGTATAAAAACGGACACTTTATTACGGGTATACTTTTTTTTTCATCTCCTTTTTGCAGTGGGTATCACATTTTTGACACACTTAAGACGTTACAGTTATGTCGGTAACCGCCTCCGATCTAACCTTGATAAATTAATTCGTTAACCGCGCGTGTTAAGTGCGTTTCTTACGGCCAGAGAGTACGTGAGCCGCTCGGTTTCCATTTTTTATTTTTTTGTTTAACGTTTCTTGTTTGTTATTTTTTTTCCACTGCCGCACGTCATAAAAATATAATTCAATCATCACCGTCGTAGTCATATCTGTCTAAAACGTGTGTATAATATAGTTTTTTTTCACTTACTTATTAATAAATTGTAACACGATATTACTATTAAGTATATTATATTATATATAGAACTCACCTATAACATATTTATCTTAATATGTATTATTATTATCGATCGATTATTCTTGGGAGACCTAGATAAAGAGTGGCAGGCCATCACGTACTCGATGTACTGTGCAGTTATTATTACCTGTCATTATTACAATATATTAAGGCCCCCGCAAGCGAGTCATTTCCAACAGGACTGAACACACCCGATTTGTAGGGCGTTCGACACAGGTAATTTAACTGGAGCTTTGTGAAAAATGGAAAAACAATAATTTAAATAATATATATTCGAACACTGGTTCAAAGTCATTTTAAAGTGGAGATAATCAGTCAAAAGTAAAGCCTTTTCCGGAGCACCATGGGACTGCCGGACAAAATGAGGTACATGGAAAGAAATAATTATAGGTACTAAAATCAAAACTCTTTCAGCATGTTGAAATAAACTGAAGACGCATGCTGCAGAACGCAAGACATTTAGTGAAATAGAATTTCCTAAATTCCTAAATGTACCTCCAACATAATTTTCGTAAAACTAGTGTAAAGGACTATTTTTTTTTTGGAACTTTATTTCCGGTTACTTTTTTTCCCTATATCTGAAAAACTAAGGAAACTTGACACTTTGTTGTAAATGCTTGACTATTTAAGTTAGGTAAGAACCTATATTAAAATGTATTAAGAATGTGTGTTTTTCTCACAATTGTTGCCAAATATGTATATCACCCTACCCCCTCAGAAAAAAAAGGTTTCAGTGACGCACTGAGCAAGAATGTGCACAATGTGTCTTTAAAGTCTGATGAAAGACCGCCTCCACCCCTATCACACCTCTGCCTCTATGATAACGGAAATTAAAAACTTCCGAGTGGGTCCCAAATCAGTATGTACCACCTCCTACCATTGCGTTTGTATTGTTCCTGGTATTACGAAAATTTCAGTAAATTGGTTTTACGTTGGAAAGAATTGAGAAGAATGCAGCTGTTCGTAGATAAGAAACAACATTCTCAATATAAAAAGGGGAAAACTTCGTTTGTTAATATCATTCTTGCGAAAAAAGTTTTTGGCGTTTCAAAAGAATAAAGATAACGGATCCTATAGATGATATAAATACCAATTATTCGTATGACGTGTATATTAATAACATTTCTTTAAAAATGTACGGTGGTGGGCGGAAAGTTAAACGTACTTCACCGCGGTGTCTATATAACTGCATGCAGAAGTTGGTTAACCGTGTATACCTATATAATATTATTATCTACCTTCGCCGCGAGACCTTTTTATTTTTTTCGTATACCCGTCGTATAAGACATGATTTTGTTTGCCCCAATACAATATAAAATATATAACACGAATTCGAAAATAGAGACCGTTCGAACGACGGACGCATGCGCGCACACAGTCACTCGTGAAGTATATTTTACACGGAGCGACGAGCTCTATTGTTATTATAAAATATTGTTTAATGACTTTAAATTATGCCATTAGCCGATTGGAGAGTATATTATACCATAGGCGTCGGCAGTAATCGTTTGGGTGTTTAGACGACCGAGCTGTCCGATAAATCTTAAGGGTAATTGCAAGAGACGTTAATGAAACATGTCCGGATTCCTCGGCGATGGTCATCTTCCCACAACCGCATATCTATGGGCGTACAACACGGCATGCATTATATTATTACAATATTATACGCCACCGCCGAGTACGGGTGTATACTACCTAACCCGGTTTCCGGTATAACGGTGACGCTTACATATTTTATTATACCCATTAATTGTAATCTGTGGCAATAACAATAATACCTAATAATTGTATAATAGTCGTTAAGACCATCATCTGGCTTGCTTGGCTGGCCACCACCTAAGCTCCAACGACATACCTACACGATTGCACCTCCACCTGCACAAGTCGCCCCTCCTGTGAACAATTAATTAACGCGTTTGAGTGTGGTTTCTTTTTTTGTTTGTGTACCTATAATCTGTAGAGGGGATTGAGTTCGATTAAAAATGTGTTTCACGTGATAACTATAATAAAGATATTATACAAAATTTCGTTTTAAATAAACCATAATATGCAATATAAAATATTATAGTGCGGTACAACGGCCGCAAGATTGACAACAATAATAAAATTGTACTAAATTTTGTATTCTTTTTATTATTGTTTAAATATAGGATATTATTGAAACGTGTATATGAATTTTGCACTTTTTATCTTAAATATCATTGATGTGTGTGTCAATTATTATTATGAGTGCATCAAACTTACATACAAACTTACTACCATACTTACTTACCCACTTGCTTAATTAATCCGAAAAAATGTCGTTTCACAGGTGTTGTTCGTCGGAGACAGTTATGTGCCAGTCACCACTCAGCTCCGGTCCAGACCCATATCGCCGGCCGACTCGACAGTGCTCGACTGGAGACTTCAAACCGTGGAGAGTTGGGATGGACGAAGACACGGCAACAACAAGACGCGAGTGCAACGTACGTATTTAATTTTCCTCTTATGTATACCTATATACGCTTATAGTATATACGATGTGATAGCAGCAATATATAGACTTACGAAACGGTCTTGCTGCACCCCTCGGTTTTCGTCCGATCGCAGAACATAACTGCTGACTGCACCGCAGTAGGCTTTTTACTTTTTTTTTTTTAAACCATAATTATTAAAATGTATGAATTCCATTCTTAAATTACCAATTAAATGTGTACCACAAATTAGTACACATTTTTAAAAAGCATTTAATAGGCATTCATTGCATTTACATGAACTTTTCGCTTTGGATAAAATACTTACAACATAATATTACCATTATGACTATATAACTACCCTTATCGTTGTATCCAATAATAAACATGCAAATTACGTAGTAATACCTAACTTTTCAATGGTGCAAATTACAAATCAAATTCTCAATTACCTATTGTGTCTCAAATTATAAGTGTAATACACAATGTTTTGGTTCAAACAAAAAACTCTCGCAGCCCCCTCCGCTAAAACCATTTTGGATATCAAAGGTTGGACATAAATTAAATAATATTTAATAATATAGTCCAACCCTGAAATTGATCATCCCCGTGTTAATCTTTATGTTTTGTTTTGCGGTATTTAATTATTTTCGATTATCGCTTTCCGTTATAATTGAGTTAATATATTATCGTTTTTTTGTCAAATATAACGTTATTATGACGTTTGCAAGCCCTGCTCTCAATATCGTTTTCGAGTACGGGATTCGATATTCCATACCATACAATAATAATATTGACATCGAATGTAAAGTTTCAGAAGAAACGTAACCATCCTGCTCAAAACGGGTTAACCACGCCCGTATTGACCAAAATAAATGTAGGTAGGTTTACCATAACCGCGGTACACGAGACGACCGGACATCCGCTCGTGACATAACCAGCGCAGTGCAGCTTTTATTACAGCCACTGAAGCAGTTGCGAAACGGCTTGCGATTAGGATTTATCCCAATTAGCACATAACGAGGACCAAAGCCACTTCACGACCATAATATTTGTTTTCGTTTGAGCTCTGTTGAGATTACTATCTTTATTATTATTCATCATATTGTATTACGTCTTGCAGTATATAGGCAAACCTCAGCACGGGTTTTGTTTTTTCCCTCTTTCCGTGTTATTATGATAATATTATAATATAATAATATTATTGTTATGTTATTATAAAGAGGCCATCGCGATAAACGCGCGTAACATTGAAGCTGACGTCCGTTCCTTAGACTTTATGGCCACTGAACCGACTCAGATAATAATACTATTAATTATTATTATTATATTATAAATAGTTAATAATTATTATTATCGTCGGTGCCGCAGCTGTTGCTGACGCAAAATCTCAATAACAGAACGATATAATCACTATAGGTACTCCGAACTTTCACTTGTTTTAAAACGAGGCGTTTGATTAAAGTATTATTATTATTTATTGTTGTTATGCGAAGTGATGGCCATGCAACTCATATATTATATTCTGTTCTTCTTCATCTTTCTTCTACAGAAAAAAATAAACATTGTCGGGAGAAGACACTTACTAGGAACAATGTGTCTCATATGATACAATGGGATCGATTGAGCGGGGTGGAAAATATTTTAGGTCGATAACATTTTTTAAAGAATGTTTCGTTTATGCAATGCTTTTCAATATTATTATATTTGTACATTAAAATAATTGGAAAATAGATGTAGGTAATTAGGTTCTTAAAAAATGTTGTAAGCTACAACTTTAATGATGTAAACAAATTCTTAACCTTATGATTATTATTCCCTGTTAATTTGCTTGAAATAAAAAATAAAATAAGACTTTTATATTTTGAAAAAAATTAGTATCCCTTGAAATTATTTAACTCAACCCAACAAGTGTTGAATTTGAAGCCCACTCCCTAAACACCGATCCTCAAACAAATAACAATATATACTTGCATGCCAATAACGACAACTATTGTGAGCGATTAAGTCAAACATTTTTTAACGTAATTTATTCCAGTGAGAAATAATTGTTATTTATTAAAATATGTAGGTACTTATGTATTAGTTTGTATAATTTTTTAATTACAATTTAAATTTAAATTATATATTCCATAGCTGTTATGCTGTTATTCAGTATAATAACAAGTTGTATAATTCATCAAACTAATTCAATAGGTATTGGTATCTATATAATGTTATGCAATACAATTTTGCGAAATAAAAATGTATTTTATAAAAAGCACGCGCTGCCCCTCTCCCTCCCCCCGCCAGTTTCGGAAATAATAGTACCTATCTATACAGAACAACCACCTCTAAAAATATTTTAAAAAAAATATATTAGAAGAGCTCCATCAGCCCTGTGACCTCGGTCAACACCAATTCGAACACTAATAATATTATGGACGCGTCATAATGTCTGTGATGATAGCGTGCAGTGCACATATATTGTGTATTGTGTGTGTCGTTTTCCGTGTACGGTGATTATAATATTATTTTGTTATGAGTGATTAGTATGATATAACTATATACGGTGTACGTACACGCATCATGAGGCCATTGAATTTTCCCGAGTATAACAATAAATTATATTATTGTGCTGTGGAGGTCGAACCGTAAAATTCGTCGTGTCGGCACGCTTAAACGCTTTGGCGGTTTTAAATATTTTCGTCATCCGAACCAGACACCGGTCCGCCCGACCGTTCGCCAAAAGGAAACAAAAGAACCCCTACGGGCCGACTACCGCATTAGACGATCATTATTATACAACGACGTTGACGACTTAATGCCCGAGTCACGTGCATTAAAAAATAACAACAGCAATATAATAATATGATTACAAAAAAAAAGAACCGACTTTTTGCCCTCCACAATCGTACACGCGGTGGACGATGATAGGCTTATTGTGAGCACGCGTTTAACTGTGAGGTCGAGATGCGATTCCGTAGGAACGGACAACAATTTTAAAAGAATAGAAGATTCGTGTTTATATTGTATAACATTTATGTGCAGGCGGAATAAAAAAAGCGTTCTCGTACTCGTCATTAGCCAATTCCGGGATTTTTTCCACGATCAGATCTATACAGGTGGATTTTTGTTATCGTTTTATCACGAACTTAGAATTTGTATTTTTGTTTTTATTTTTCTGACGACAAATTTCCTAATGTCTTGCATTCGTCTATAACACGATCAGTATAATATTATATTTTTTTATGCATAATAAGTGCATATTTGAACTTTATACATTATATTAATATTAATTATTTTACCAACGTCTGATGACAACGACTACCTAACTGTGCTGTCCCTATATGTACTTTGCGTTCATCAAAATATATCATAATTTGTGAACTTGCCAACATTCGTAAGCGGTAAGCCGTTAACTATATTACAATATAATAGATGGAAACGGTTTTTAAAATTGATAACATTAACTTCCACTACCATATACAATGGGTGGTCTACTAGGGGGGTGGGAGTGAAGAGGCCACCGACCCTTGAGCCGAGCATATTATTCTGTGCACATACGACACATTGACAATACACACGTAAATACTGCAATAATATAATATTATATAATATTATGTATAATAAATTGATAAACATGCAGATGATGTGAAATTAATAACGATAATGGTGACTGCACCACTATTATTATTATTTTTATAATGCATAATACTGTGTTGTAATATAATATTATTGTAGTATTGTATTAATATAATACAACGACGCATCGACCACGACGTTGACGATAATAATATTATGTGGCCGAGATGAATATATTATTTAATTTTCATGTAAAATTTTCACGGGTCCGTGTTTAAATATTTGTGAACTGATTTAAAAATCGTTCGCGCGGAGGTGGCATAGGCGGCTTATACCTATATAGACGTATAGAAATAATAAATACACACACCCACACACACACACACACACACACCTGCGGAGTTGGTGGGGACACGGCGAGAAAACCGTGAAATTCGTACTCGTTATTAAATAGCCCTATTGAAAGAAATTAATGGACCATAAAGTATTATTTTTAAGTCTCCCACGGGGTCCACAACCGCAAATTATTCGTCGTCGTCGTCCTGTATACTCGCGTAATAATGGGCAGAGGTACAAGACACAAGTGTTGTACCTGTATAGGACTATTATGATAATATTATACTATTATTGTATGGACTTGCGGACATGTGTATCCGAATCGACGCGAAGATCGGACGAGTGTACGTCTAAAAGCGGCCTCGGGACATTTGCATAAAGATTCGCACAACAGTAAAATTATATTGATATGACGTGGCGATAAGGACCTAACGAACTCGTCCTGAATTTAATCACAAGTCAGAATACCGCTATTGTATATAGTAACTTCGGTCGTAGAAACGTGTTGACAAAGATTGTCTATATACTACTCCTGGTGAAATTTAGAACCGATAAACCTGTTGTTGTAAAATTAAAAAAAGATAATATTTTGAAAAATATGACTTATTATATCCGTTTTTGATTATATATTTTAGTATTTACTTTAAAATTTCAGGTGTTCAGAAAAATTTTCTTATTTTTTCGGAATGCAAAAAAAAACGGAATAATATGGTATTTTGTAGGGCAGTGTTTCCCAACCTGAGGAGAAGCTTTGTAGGTGGGGTGCAAGATTTAAGGCATACAATAAATTCAATCACCTGCAACCGGTCAAAAAATACTGAAATTGAATTTAAAATTATAACAAATAATAAGATATATTAAACATTTAGAGATTTTTTTTAATTTACACTGACCTAGAGAGAATTGTCAGTAGGTGCCTATGTCAATTATATATTTCTCTGTTCTCCGTTTGTGGGTTTTTACGTTGAAAATTCGTGGATGGAAGCTTACAACATTCAGTCAAATTGTACTGACAGCTGATCGTTTATTTCGAGTTTGTGTGGGTTTTTAAATTCGATTTTCGAAAAATTCACTGACAGACGTGCGGTTAGTTCGATTGTTACACGGAATTC